AAGCATATATATATATTAGTATTTAAATGCTTCTCATATATATATATAATTGTGTATGGTATAAATATTTCGATGCATATCTTTCATCGAACTTGTCCTAAGGCATCTCTCTGTATATATCCATGCATATGTAACTCTGTTCAAAACTGGATATTCTGATAACTCTTATCACCGAACACAGATACATAGTAAGGCAGATTAAAACAATTGATATGAAATATACACTAAACAGCCCTCAAGTTCAACAGAGCGTTCCTATATATGTGTTAGCAATTTTATCTGGGAACAAAAGCTGTTACATTTATCGACCTTTGGAGAGCTGTCTATAATCGTTTTATGTATCTCACAAACTGGCCGAAATACGAATTAACTACACCAACCTGAGCACAGATTGCCTTCACATACCTCATTGCCCAGAGCTGAAAACAGATTTTGTAGGGCCAAACGTGTGCTCTCACTTGTCATGAGATCGTGCAGCAGATTAACGGCAGCGTTATCACCTTTGAATTCTTGTGTAACCTGGGTTACTGCGTCACTGACCACCCCGACCCTGGCCTTATCCTCCGCTGACATCGCCACTATTGACATGATGCTGAAAGTCTTGCTTTGCCCAAGTGCTGAATGTGCTTACTATAATAGATCAAGTATACAAGACTATCGCTCAAGTATTTATTTTGGTATACATATATACCATTTTTTGCTACTAGCACAGGCCACAGCGTACACTGCTGACTGCACACTATAGCGGCGGGAGTATGTTATTTGGAGTAAACAAAAAGCCATAATATTTGATGTTTTTGAATAAAAAATGTCCTTGGCAAAAATATGCTTCTGACCAAGACACCTAAGAACTCTTCTGACTATCAAAGTATCCGAGGCCCGAGCGCCCGACTGCCCGGGTCGCTAAATATTTCAGTATTTATACCGAGTAAAATACTAAAATATGTAAATAAATATTTCAGAGCTGTAGTGTATGTGAATATATATCTTATGTCATATGTAGCGAAAGAGCACGAGAAAGAATTCAAGCAAATCCATCATGACCCGTTGGAAAACAAGATGGGAATATTAGGAAAGTATTTAACGAATACTCCATGGCCCTCTACTAGAATTGTTGCGGTCAAAAGGCAATTCGGGCGAATAGGCAATTATGTTAGGGAAATTGCCACCTGACTATAATGCTGTTTGACCCGACTTGTCCTGAGGGCCGTGAATAATATCCTTCATCCGGCGAGGTGACTTTGGCAGAATTACAATATATGAGCATGTCAGCCCCGATTGTCAATTCATCCGAGTGCCCGGGTCACGGAACAACGAGAGATAAAATTGCTGCACACAGAGCAGGTAGCTGTATTGTTTGTGAATAGCGAAAGACACTTCAGCGAAAGAGTTTTACATACATGCGAACAAATTCGAGCAAAACCTTCATGACCGGTTGGAAGACAAGATAGAATAGCTATCTTTTCTCTCTCTGGCGATGAGACATTGGCAGAATTAAAATAAATGGGCTTGTTAGCCCCGACTATCAATTTATCCGAGTGCCTGGGTCGCGGAGGAAAGGGGATAAAAGGCTGTACACCGAGCGGATAGTTGTGTTGTATGTAGAAAATGAAAAACACTTCAGCAAAAGAGTTTCGCATCCATGTGAACAGATTCGAGCAAAATCATCCCGAGTTCTTGACCCGTTGCGAGATATGAAAGTAACACTCTCCTCCCTCCGGCGACTCTATGATATCACAATTTCCTCTCTCTAGAGGTTATAAAATTCTGAATACGTCCACACAGGGAAACCTCACGGATGGCTGCAATGTAGAGCTCGTATTGTGATCACATATTGTTACTTATGCATAATAACAAGAACGGGAAGAAGCCATCCAGGAATACGCACGCGGCACACACCGGGGATACAAAGGTTTTTCCAAATTATGAAAACATTAAATTTTAAATTTGTCGACTACACTTTTTGTATTCATTCACATTTCAGGTTGTTCCAAGTTATGAGAACATAAAATTTTAAATTTGTCGACTACACCCCTTTTTGTATTCAATCACATTTCATGGTCTATTTGTGTTAAAACGAAACAACTGGGTGAAACCACGAACAGATCTACCCAAGATAAACTACAAAACAATCTGGTGCTTTTAACCAAGGCGTTACAATCACAAGAGCCGCAAGCAGATATCAAGAAATATTCACACGACACTCATGCGTGCTAAAAAAGCTTTTTTTTCCCATGGCTTAAGAATATATCTTGAAACCCGACCACAGGTTATCATCATCATACAAGAAAGCTTAAAAGAGTCGGGGCCACTAGAAAATATACGAATAAGTTCGCACAGGATGAAAACGCGGA